GTCCTCGACACGTGTGCTCTGTCGGCAAGTGTTCGGTTATTTCGAGAGTCGCGCTTCCGGTCAACCTTGGGACACTTTATTGGGCAGCAAATGCCCTCTGGATAAGTTCAGAGTAAAATTGTGGTTCATCATAGTAACTCGTGAGTGGATTTCCGAATACATGACACCTGTAGAGGTCTGTTATGCGTTTCTTCGCAACGGAGCTCAGAAAGCCAATTGACATGTCATTGGATGCTACAAAATTTAGGTCCCGATTATTCCCCTAGACATGAGAACGAGGACCTCATGGTCAAAGGCTTCGATACAGTCATACTGACTCGTATCTATTATTTATGTATCCAGTGCTTGAATCCAAATACATCCAACACTTTAGGATTCAATTTCAAGAGCTGGTGAGCTGGACCAGGACATCTTGGTTATAAAATTGCAGTCGGGTCTCCACCGTAGGGATGGGGACTGCTTACCAATTTAGCCGGGAGGATCATCGGGTACCGGGTGTTTTTGTACGTTAGCTTTGCTTCGCTGAGAAGAAATGTGAAAAAGGTATCCACGTGTCATTCCAACATCAAGCAAAACGACCTGCTACAGGAAATCTATGTGTGTTCCCCGACAATTTTGACGTAGAGGAGGCCGGCACCCATTAACAGAAGCCTGGCAAAAAATAAGCTGGTCACTAGTAAATCAATTGGCGTTTCATGGAGTCACACAGCTAATAATTGAGGAACAGTACTATCAACGCAAAAATGACTCAGTCACCTCCACATACAGAGGGCAATCTTCAACTTCGGCCAACTGCCGATAACTACCCTTCCTAGTAAAGCCATGGACTCTATGGTCGTCGATGAAGCAACAGTAAGGCAGAAACGGGTCTCGTCTCCGGCATCGTTCCCTTTCTTGCTGTATGCTTGTCATACTAGTAAGATAATGACCAAAATAGGGTCCATTTAATGCAGTTTGAATTTTCTGGGGCGTACGCGTGATACAGGGCACAGATTTAAATCAAGAGGGTAGCGGATTCCTCACCTCCGGTTTCAGGAGTATCTCCATATTGGTTGAAATACGCTTAATAGTCCCGAAAGTTTTGTCCTAGGCCCACATTTGGCCTCATCATCGGCAGCTCGATGTCAGTGCTCAAATNTTGGCCTCATCATCGGCAGCTCGATGTCAGTGCTCAAATACTGATGCTTCGTTGCCATACGACCACAATTTATTCCAGTGCTTTATTGTGAAGGAAGGAGTGAGTAAATTGAAAAGGACGCAGTGCTAGCCTGCCAAAGTCATTCCGTTTTGCTTACGACTCCAGACAATCATTCGGACAATGTAGATGGAAAATGACAGCGAGACTACCACTTCCATCGCTTGGCAGCCATATCTTGCAGCAGCTCAATCCACGCAAGTCGAAAACCATGTGGAAGCCATCCCTGAGGGCGAGTCGTACAGACGACACCCGGAAATTCCGCAGTAGATTTCATTTACCTCTGCCAGGTAAAGCTTGATCCGGCAAGCGATGGTTCGGCATTACAGTGCTGATACAGTAGCTGTGGAAGACCTGAAGACATCCCAGTTCTGGTGCTTGCTAAGGACACGTCTCCCGACCGTGAAACAAAACTATCCGTACCGTGGCCTGATATACACGTCCTTCAATATTCGGGGTTATACCGCTTTGTCACCACAGGTGTCTGGAATTAGAAACGTGGCCAAAGTCTCATAGATTGGCGCAGTGACCTCATCTGACACTACACTCGGAACTAGTACAACTTTCAAAGTACGTACAGTGCTCCGCAACTTTGAGTACCTTCTTCTAAATTGTGAGTGACTCGGTGAATATATGTCCAAAAGCGTGACCTAACATTTTATGGGTCAAAGCGTATGGCGAAAGAATCGATTACTCCGATCAGTTCATCCAGGGATACCTGCGCTTTCTCCGAACACGAGAGCGATATCGTCTGCGCACTCGGCAGGATTTTTGTCAGCAGCCAGGGTTTTGAGCACCATCCAGCGTTATTGTCATTGTCCTGCCAGTCACGAAATTAAATATGAATGGATAGAGTGGACATACCTGCCAGACACGTGTACAGAAGCTTTTGAAGAGCTCCCCATATACTCACACGATTCAAAAAGTCCGAGAATCATCATCATCATTATCAGCTGTAATAACCGCGTACTGGTCGTACACTGGTTGTAGCTGCCAC